TACTTTTTAGACCTAGAAGCCTTTAAAAAACATACCCAGGAGCAAATTTCACAATAAAAGTCTCCCATTTACGCTCTAATACAGCATCTATTCACCCAATAACATGGAAAACCAGTGATTTCATATTTGGAAATGGATTCTATATCACTGCTGGGCATGATCCTTCCCTTGACACACATCCATGATAGACTTTCAAAATAAGACTAAAGGGAACCTACAAAATAAAAGCCTCTTCCTTACGCACACTCATTCATTGTGCCGTATGGCTTGTAGCCATGACCCAAAGTCAACCAATTTCTTCAAATTACACTACCAAGGCCTGTTGACCACACACCTCAGTTTACATATCTTAATAAGGCTCTAAGATTTACACTGTAATAAAGCATCTGCTAACCTAGTAACATGCAGCCTAAGCCTGCCAACGGTGCTTTCATCACCACAGCGGCTCGTATCATGCAGGTTAGTTTTTTTTTTATAAATTCAGCTCCTTAAGTTCCTCTGCTTCTCATGGTTAGTCTTGCACATAGGTTTGTAAATGTTCAATCCTCAAATGATGACACTGTTTGCTTTATGCTGATGAACCGACACATTTTAAATAATTTTCCAATTGTTTTGCCAAGTCTTGACATTTCCACATATGATTTCAAAATGTTAAGACTTATTCAATACCATCGTCCTCAACATTTTACTTCCCATCCTTAAGCTACTAATTTTTTCTTCAACCAGATAAGATTAAAGTTTTTCTTTGTAATTTCTTTTCTACTTCAGCTAATTTCATACTTTTCAGCCTATGTTGTGAACTTTGGCTTCATTCTGCTCTGTTTCTGGACAGGAATTAAGCTTTTCTTTTTGCTGCATGGTTTGGCTATGCAGCTTTTAAGATGAGTTTCTTTCTGCCATTTTAGTGCCAAATAATTCTACCCTAAAAAAATCTTCAGATGATTCAATTGTTTTCTGCAGTTTGAAGTTTCTGATGACTTCCTATCACATTTTCATATGTTCTGCAGTTAATTTCAGCTTTATTCATTCAGCAAAAGCATTCCCACTTGCTGTTTCTCCGAAACAGCTTTTTCTAGTTGACTATTAGTCATGAAAACTTTGTTTGAAGTACCAATGCACTAAACACTTACCAAAACATGCTTCCGCAGATTAGATGTGGAGTTATTGAATGTTGCCAGTTCAGTCACCTTTGGCAGACACATCTGGCATTGCATGATGATACTGTCGGCACTCTTGAATTTAAATGAAAAGCAGTCTTTCAAATGTGGCCAAGGATTTTTGTCGTTTTGGGCAGCAGAATTCGATGTTTCAGCTAGCATTTCTAGTGAAACGTTCTCTGAACCGTCGTAGCTCTCCTGATCCACCTCCATCTCGTTCCCGATCTCCTACAGAAAGACTTGGCGCCCGGTAGCCTAGATCTACATGCTGATCACGTCACTCACTGTAGTACTTCCGGGCCCGATTTTTTGCCTTAGTTTCGGTTTTCCAAAGTTTTGTTTTACTCAGTAACGGATGGGATTTGTAATGTAACGAAATACAATACTTCACTCAAAACGTAATCAAGTAAAATTTAAATTACCGATTTTAAAAACTACTTGAAAAATACAAAATACACAAAAAACCTACTCAATACAGTAACTTGAGTAAATGTATTTCGTTACTTTCCAGCTCTGCTTTTAGATCCTTTTATTTCCGATTGTACTCGAATCTTCATTCTGACATATTTACTAGAAACATTTTTGAGCTGATCAGGCCTTCAATCCAATTGTATCCATGTAAATGTAGGTTTTGTTTAAACATCTCAGGTCAATTATGGAAAAAGATTGATATTTATTTCACATATGGTACACATGTGAATCCAATGCAAAAGCACATGTATACGTTTGCAACTGAAAATGTTCAAATTAAAAGTATGTCATTTAGATGCAAAAACCCATGTGCCTCAAATTTGAATCACAGGTGCTTTAATAGGAATATTATTTTCACATGTGAAACAACATGCGTGATCATGTGGAGAATGTAAACCACGTGCGAAAGATGGGAATCATCTGTTTATTCAGTGTGTTGATTTCTTAGTGAATAAACTTTGAAAATGCGTATAAGTAGTCACATGCCTAAGTGGGCGTAAGGCTGCAGACTTACTGCCGACTCTGAACATCAGATGTCTTCGGTCTAATTAAAATGTAACCTCTGGGATGCTGCAGCCTGCTGCACTGAACAGGCAGTTGTTTTACATAATGAATATTTAAAGATGCTCTGGCTGCCTTGGCGCTCATAAACCACCGACCATCATCAAGCCCTCCCCATAAAAAGATTCAGGGGGATGTGGCCACATGTGTTAATGGGTTTTAAGTCCCTACAATAAAATAGGGATGGGATTCATTTTCAAAAAAATTATATTTTATACTGTTGTTAAACCAGTGAAAAGTATAACCAACGCCTTATTTCAGGGCTCTCCAATGCTGGCCCTTAAAGGGGAACACCGTTTTTTTTTTTTTTACATTGGGCCCTTGATTTTACGTTATTCCATCATGTTCTACTCACCCATATGAGTTTTGTGTCATTTCAAGCCGTTCTGAAGATATTCCGTTAGGTTATATCCAAGTAACGTCTTCCTATGGGCAACGAGGTGAAGGCACAAACTAAACTGTTCATAATTTATCATTTATGGTACGCCAGCATGTCCCCCAGACATCCGCGGTTATATTTTTTATATTTCTATTTTTTAAAAACAAAGCAGAGCGTGCTGATGAAGATTCTCAGTCATCCAGGTTGTAGTCATTCCGTAAAAGTTTAAAAAACAATCCACTGGACTTGTTTTTCCAAGATTTGAAGACGTTTTGCTACCTCTTCAGGAAGCTTTCTCAGTTCAAACTCAAACTCACAGCGGATCCAGACATTTGAATTATTTTATTTTATTTTTTATATATATATAAATACAATTTTTATATAATAAAAAATATATATATAAAAAAAATAATAATCAATGGCATTTAGCTGTATCAAATCTCTTATTTCTTCACATAAAATATGAAATGCTGAAGTAAGTATCCAAGCTTATAGAAAGGAGTGTGATGATTAATTAGATTAATTGATTATTGAAATAATCATCAACTGATTTGGTAATTGAACCAAATTTTTACCCAGAGTAATTATACACTGACTAAAACATGATATTTGGCGAATGAATAACCTACTAGATCCTTAATTAAGATAGAACATTAAAAAAAATAAGTATATATTTAATGCATCTATTCGGTATTTACAATTTATTTAAATTGTGAAATCACTACGTTTTTTTATTTTCAAAAATTCTAAACATTTGTTTATCAGAAATGTTAACTGACTTTATGTAATTTAGTTGCTGGTGTTTTTTTTCCAGCCACCAGGGCAACACTCCGGCTCACGGAGAAGATGGTGGCGGCCGGAGCAGATGCAGTCCTGGTGGTAAACCCTTGCTTCTACAAGGGCAAGATGGACAGCAGCGCTCTAATTCATCATTTCTCAAAGGTCAGCGAACAGGTTTAGAGTATGAACTCATGCATTTTTGGAAATTATGACCTGGGACATAAAGCTAGGACATACACCAACCAGCGTACAGATGAGGTGAATAATAAAGATTCTTCATCAGGGCCTCTTTTTTATTATTACAAAGAGAATGGGGTGGAGAGAGCATGAAGACATTCAGCAAATGTCTCTGTCTTTGGAACCCTGGGCGGCTATGCCAGCAAAGGCCTCTATATGGGTCACAAGCTCTTGCCTTGCAACACCACTGTGCCCCTATGGCATCTCGCATTGGAAAAAAGACAGCATTTGCTTTTTGTGAACATTAAGGTCAAATTCTCTTTACTGTAATCATTAATTGCAGGGCAGCTTCTAAAATAGCGGATATAAAGCTGTATGTTTGAGCCACAGCAAAAATGTATCCTAAGGAGCTTCTGGGGAAGACGATGCTAAACCAAGTCATAGTCAGAATGGAGTTAAACATGTCCTCCCTCACCTGTCCTGCAGGTGGCAGACAGCAGCCCAGTGCCAGTGGTTCTGTACAGCGTGCCGGCCAACACGGGCTTAGAACTGCCTTTGGACGCCGTGGTGGAGCTCGCTCAGCATCCAAACATCCTGGGCCTCAAAGACAGTGGAGGAGATGTAAGCATTATTTATGAAGCATTATTTTATTATTATTGACTTTGACTAAAATCAAATAACTGGGTGCAGTAGATTTTTGTTTGCATTGTGGAGGAGCTACTGCACATGTACAGTTTTTAATAATAGTCTATGGCCAAAGATTTTTGCACCCTGGGCGGAAATACGTTACCAATCGGACAACGAAGGAAACAGCTTTACTCGCCGTTAAAGATTAAATTTTTATCTTGCACATAAAAAAATACATATTAATATATTTTGAAATATTTTAATGTTATAGTCCCTCGATAAGGAGTAGGTGTGAGGAGACAACGAGAAAGCCAAGGGGAAAAGAACACACACAAGACGGCAACAGAAAAACCTGAGAAACAACATAAATGTAGAAACTACAACAAAATAGGAATCAAACCAATAAAACTAGAAAACAAGGAGCAAAGTAAAGCACAACAGAACCAAAACCATGACACACATCTGCATTAGGGATGGAACGTTTTATGAAAACCGTCCGAACCGTTTGGTTCGACTGTCTCTGTTTGGTTCGCGTGTGTTGTGTTCGGTTCATGCGCTGCTCCTTTTTCTCATACGCGAAGCATTTACACTCCAGAGCAGAAGATGGCGGTACTGCGACCAAAGCCAACCACCAGTAGTAAACAAGAAGAAGAAGAAGCGAAGCAGCTGTTAAAGAAAAATTATTATTTTTAGTTTTTAATACAGTTAATCTTATGGCATGTGTAAAAGGTATGTTGAACACTTTTTGAACATATTTCTTAATTTTGAACAAGTTTGTGAAGATAACCTTTCCTTGAACCAAATTACTGAATTTAAGTTTGTTCCTAAGAATTTATGGTAGGAGAGGCCCCGCATTCCACAGCTATCGGTGAAATCTTATCTTATGTTTTCCTTAGCCAGATGACCTTAGAATTCCTGGAGGCCAGGCCGTAAATTAGGGGAAGTTCTAAGTTTTTCTGAGTGTCCAAGGTAGCTTCCAATTGGTCAAGCGGAGATTATAAAACTTTATATACATTTTTTTATACATTATAAAACTTTCTACACAGAAGTAACAAATCAGATTTGCTCTTGCAACTCTCCAAAGATGTCTTTGTATGTCTTTGCTTTCTTTCCTTCTCTCCATTTATGTCAGGTAAATGAATGTATGTCTCCGTTGTTCTGCAGTTTCTGGTGTAAGTTTGTGCATTGTCTTACTTCTAAGTTTATGCATTGTCTTATATTGGATTAAACTCTGTAATTCTGTGACGTCAACACGCATTGCTGGTTTCCTTGGGGCCACATGCAGCTCCCCGAGCGGACCTGGGATCCAAAAGGAAGAGAGAGAGCCAAACTTTTTCCAAAGTTAAATATTTTAGAAGTTTTTCTTCCTTAACACAGCGTAGCCGGGTGAAGCAGAAAAAAATCAGTTGTTGTGGAGGATTGTGTGGGTATGGCGAGTGGGAAAGAACAGGAGTTGGAAGACGCGCCAGCAGCACTTTATAGGTCTGCGGTATGGAACCACTTTGCATTTAGAGTGACCTACGATGACGGCGGAAAGAAAGTTGTTGATAAAAGTGCAACAGTGTGCAAGCATTGTGCAACACGTTTTGTTAATGCTAACAGCAACACGACCAACATGTCATGCTAACCCCGAAATCCCACATACTTTGTCAGCGCTCCGCCCCGCTGCGCTCCAGACCGCCTGCACAAAGCAAAGCCTACAGCCTCCACTGTGGCTCCTGTCCGCTCCGCTCTGAGGTCCTTGGAGATCGTAGAGGGCATGCGCGAAATAATTAAATTCAAAGCAGCAAAACATGCGGAAATTATCCATGGTTTTCGCGGATCATTAAAAATAATTACAATTCATTAATTGTTTTTTTTTTCATTAATTTTAATTTTTTCATTAACTTTTTATTAATTTTTCTATTTTTCGGTGTAACAATAAACATATACCGAACCGAAAACCGTGACCACGAAACCGTGAACCAAACCGAACCGTGGTTTTTGTGAACCGTTCCACCATCAGGAGGTGGTCCCCTGAGATAGAAAGTGCCCTCAGAGACTGTTACAACATCACAGACTGGGACGTGCTGATCAACCCGCATGGTGAGGACATTGAGGGGATGACACACTGTCTGACAGAGTATCTCAACTTCTGCGCAGACGTGGTCTCCCCTGCCAAGACTGTCCGATGTTACCCGAATAACAAGCCCTGGGTAACGCAGGAAGTTAAGGCTGTCCTCAACAAAAAGAAGGCTGCTTTCAGGAGCAAGGACAGGGAGGCCATGAAGGCAGCACAGCAGGAGGTGAAGCACTGTGTGAGGGAAGCCAAGGACAATTATAGGAAAAAAGTGGAGCAGAAGCTGAGGGACAATAACATGCGGGAGGTCTGGGAAGGTGTGAAGACCATTACAGGTCACAACACAAAGACCAGAGCCACAGGGGGGACAATGGAGAGGGCGAACGAGCTGAACAACTTCTTCAACAGGTTCAACCAGCCCATGTCCCCTCCACCCCCACCCTCACTGCAGCCACCTCTCCTCCTTCCCTCTACACACCTCCCTCCAGACATCACAACACCCCCCTCCCCCTCCCCCACCTCAACACAATCCCCGCCTCACATCACAACGGATCAGGTCAGAGGACAGCTGAGGAAGCTCCGGCCCAGGAAAGCAGCAGGCCCAGACAGAGTGTGCCCTAGAGTACTCAAGACCTGCGCTGCAGAACTGGGGGAGCCAGTACAACGGATCTTCAACCTTAGCCTGCAGCTAGGGAGAGTGCCCACCCTCTGGAAGACATCCTGCATCGTGCCGGTACCAAAGAAGAGCAGGCCCAACGAGCTGAATGACTTCCGACCGGTGGCACTCACTTCACACCTGATGAAGACGTTGGAGCGGCTCTTCCTCGGCCTTCTCAGACCCCAGGTGCAACACGCCCAGGACCGCCTGCAGTTCGCATACCAGCCAGGTGTTGGTGTGGAGGATGCTATCCTCTACATATTACATCAAGTCCACTCCCATCTGGATAAGGGAAGTGGCACTGTGAGGATTCTATTTTTGGACTTCTCCAGTGCCTTTAATACCATCCAGCCCCCCTTGCTCCATGACAAACTGAGTAAGATGGGTGTGGACCCCCACCTGGTGCACTGGATTTCGGACTACCTCACTGACAGACCACAGTATGTCAGGCTGAAGGACATCACGTCTGACACTGTGGTCAGCAGCACAGGAGCCCCCCAGGGCACAGTGCTAGCCCCTGCTCTCTTCACCCTGTACACCGCGGACTTCTGTTATGATTCGGAGCTGTGTTACATCCAGAAGTACGCCGATGACTCAGCCATCGTTGGGTGCGTCAGGGATGACAGAGAGGAGGAGTATCGGAGTCTGGTGAGGGACTTCACTGCATGGTGCCACACCAACCACCTACAGCTCAACACCTCTAAGACGAAGGAGCTGGTCATCGACTTTGGGAGGTCCAGACCAAGACCACGACCAGTTCTGTTAGGGGGAGCTGAGGTGGAGGTTGTGGACTCCTACAAATACCTCGGGCTGTGGCTGGACAATAAACTGGACTGGACAACACACACCAGCCACCTGTATGGCAAGACACAGAGTAGGATGTACTTCCTCAGGAGGCTGCAATCTTTTAACATCTGCAGCAAACTGCTGTGGATGTTCTACCAGTCTGTGGTTGCCAGCGTCCTTTTTTACACTGTGGTGTGCTGGGGGGGCAGCACATCTAAGAAGGACACCTCCAGGCTGGATAAACTGATCAGGCGGGCCGGCTCTGTGGTCGGCATGAAACTGGACTCACTGGTGACGGTAGCAGAGAGGAGGACACTGGACAAACTGCTGGACATTATTGACAATGTCAGTCATCCCCTGCACACCGTCATCAGCAACCAGAGGAGCCTGTTCAGTGGGAGGCTGCTCCTTCCTAAATGTAGGACCAACAGACTCAGGAACTCTTTTGTCCCTTATGCCATTAGGGTCTATAACTCCTCTCTGGGGGGGAGTAGGAAATAGAGTTAAGAGAACAGAAGTGAAGGAGTTGTAGATACTCGCTTTGGTTTTTATAATATGGACACTCTTTTTTCTCAACCATTCAAGTGCAATACACTACATCACTGTTAATTTAAGTCATTGTTTTGCTATAGCTCTCTGTATTTATTTGTCTATCCTCATCCCCCAATACATCTTCCTACACCTTATTTAATTGATTTTATTTTTCTATTGTATATACTGTGTCTAAACATCCTCTATTTTCTTGTATGTGCAATTTTTCCTGCTACTGGAAATACAATTTCCCGAAGGGAGTAATCCCAAGGGATTAATAAAGTCAAGTCTAAGTCTAAGTCTCTAATCTGCATCATATTTCTTTTTCTTATTTCCTGATGATTTTCTGACTGTTTCATATTGGTGCTGTTGGGGAAAATGCACTTTATTTTAATTCTTTATAGCGTCTCACAGCAGTCGAAATAACCCACTTTTTAATCGTTTTTTGTGAGGTCAAAAGATGACAACCTTTTTTAAGACTGTAAATTGAATGAAAAGAGAAAGTTGGATTAAATTAAATAGATGAAGGTGCAGGTGCACAAAGGCTTTAAGTGGAGATGAAGCAGACGAAAAGCCATCACACTTGATCTTCACAGTGGGAATACCATTTATTCATCTGACAAGGTCAAATGTGTTAATACCCTGTAGCTCAATCAGCCTTTAATTTTGACCTTTCACCTTTATTTCTTTTTCAATGTCTTTTCCCCCGGTTAAAGTCATGATTTACACAAAATCAATTCCATAAAACTCTTTTCTCAAAACAACACCCAAGTCTTTCAAAATACTAAGTTGTTTTTTTTTTTACCATACAAACTGATGTAATTTTTGTCTGGATGTGTTAACTTCCTCTTTAGCAGAAGGTTTTGCTTTAATTTCACACAAAGCAAAGGATCATAAAGGTTAAACGTTTTACTTTCCTTTACTTTAAATAGGATCTGATGGTTTAGCAAGACTTTTCTT